AATTGACGATCTGAGGGATAGTGCTAACCTAAGTGAAAGCTTAATTTCAGGGCCACACGGGGTCACCAAAACTTTCTCTCTATCTCTTTCTACCTCTCCGGTCCACTTGGACTCTCTGTATTGTTTCGTTTCCATTGTATCTTTTCCTTGTGGTGAGATGGTAACGGCCCATCTGGCCCCATTCCACTCCATACTCCTAGGTTCAAGTCCAGTAAGAAAAAAACATACTTAAGTCTTGCCAAAAGTATTCTTGCACTTCATCAACTCTGACCAGGTCCCACGACCATCCTGAACTAATTGTGCTTCCAAGTGGAGGAAATGCTTTGGTTGGATTGGCTGGAGTCACACACTGAGGGTAGAAGGATGGGGTCAACACTATCTGAATTACATGAACCAGAAGTCGGGAGGGGATGGTTCCCCATGGGAGATTTGGGGGTTCATTTTACTAGCTGTGCATCCTGCTATTCTACGTTCTCCTCTGTTCTGCTCACCGGCTTTCTTCCAAACACTGCTATTTTCTCTTGGAAACAGGAGAGAACAGATTCAGAGAGGAATATACCCAGAATCAGAAGTACTTGTTATGTGTGTAAAGGGTGGTGAGGGGTGTGTGGCCAGGGAGAAGGTACCAGATGCTATAATGAAGTCTAGCCTGGCAGACCGACTGTGGTATCTAGAGACGGAGGTAACAAATGAGTCAGGTCAGCAATTATCCCTTGGAGGTTAACATGAACGTTATGGGTTTCATAGTAGGAACATGGGAGAATAAAACCCAGAAGTGGAAGAAATTTCTATTATGCAGAAGTGAAGAACACTAAGATTGTAGAACACTTTCCGTCCCCTACCATTTACCAGCACACCAACAAGTCTCCAGTATAATAAGGGTGAATTACAGCCGACAGCTCTGAGATGCATCAGACCCTATCTTAGGAGGAAGCCCAAAGACAACAAGAAGATAAAAGCAAGGACACTGGAAGAATTTGAAGCCTCTGACACCCACGGTTTCAGCAAACATTAAACAGAGCCCCTTGTAGACACATGAACATGAAATCTCACACTAGACGCTGATTTACCTCAGGTCCTCTCATCCCATACATCCTCCGGCTTTCAAAAAAAAAATTATAAGGCAAGTTAAACAGCCAAGGACAAAACATGTCTCACTAGACAAAGCAAGCATCAGAACCAGACTCAGATACGACACAGGCTTTGGAATGATTAGACAGGGAACTTAAAATAACTATGATTAATGTGCTAATGGAGCTAATGGTAAAAGTAGACAACATGTGAGAGTAGATGGGTGAGTTAAGCAGGGAGATGGAAACTCTTAGAATCAAAAGGAAATCCTAGGAGTTTCAAAAAACCAAACACTGACAGAAATGAAGAATGAGGGGCACTTGGGTGGCTCAGGGGGTTAAGCGTCTGCCTTTGGCTCAGGTCATGATCCCAGGGTCCTGGGATCGAGCCCAGCATCACAATAGTTACAATCCGTAGATTTTTTTTTTTTTTAATCTTTTAATGTTCCAAGAATTTTATCTTTAAATTCTTATACCAAGCTTAATGAAACAATAACACAAAACCTATAGTACACAGCATTGGAATAATTTATATTAGAATTCTATTGCTGTTTACCAGAAGAACTTGCACATTAATAACAGCAGAACTGTCCTTTGATAAGTAAATGCTCTTACTCTGAATTCACTCACTGAATTAACAAAAACCACTCAGTAAGTTTTCCTATTACCTTTGACTATCGTTGTCATAAACAGTTAAATGTTTCCTGGAGCCAAATACTTTCCATCACCTAGAAACCATGGCAGGATATTAGCCAATTATTTAACAAAATACATACCAAAACCTCAGTGTAAAAAGCTGGCTTCACTAAAAGATTTTCTGTGTACTCACTGGCTTTAACAGTGATAATTTTGTAAAGATACAAATGAATTAATAGTTCAAAATAATAACATATAAACATCTCTGTGATTAAATAAATACTGTTTTCTCCCATGAGCATATATACAAAAAAATTTACAATTTTAATTAAAGTTAATATTTTGAGAATGGAATGAAAGACACGACAAATAGGTAAATGTCTTGTTCAAAGGTACAATCCGTAGATTTTATTTTATTTTATTTTATTTTATTTTTTTAAATTTTTATTTATTTATTTGACAGAGACATAGCGAAAGAGGGAACACAAGCAGGGGGAGTGGGAGAGGGAGAAGCAGGCTTCCCGCCGAGCAGGGAGTCCAACATGGGGCTCGATCCCAGGACCCTGAGATCATGACCTGAGCCGAAGGCAGACGCTTAACGACTGAGCCACCCAGGTGCCCCCAATCCGTAGATTTTAAATAAAGGAGAAAACCCTCCAGAATGTGAGTGAGCCTTGTCTAATCAGTGGAAGGCCTTCAGCGCAAAGACTGAGGTTTGCAGAAGCAGCATACTTCTCCCTCTGCCCACCACTCCCCCTGCTTATGTTAGTGCTCTCTCGCTCGCTCGCTCTCTCTCTGACAAATAAATAAGTAAAATCTTAAAAAAAAAAAAAAAGAAATGAAGATTGACTTTGATGGGCTCATTGGCAGACTGGACACGCCCCCCAAAAGAATCAGTGAGCTTGAAGATAGGTCAATAGAAACTTCCCAAACTAAAGTGCAAAATAAGTCATCAGTCAGTTGAGAACTTCTAAGTTTTACCCAGCTTTGTCTGCATGAAGTATTGCTATTCATCACACAGACGACGAGGCCCTCTGATAACACGTGACCACCTTTGCAGGATGGCTAACCTTGCAGAAGTTTAGGCCACTGCTTGAGCTCGGCTCTGCCCCCCCCAGTAGCACACACACCCCCTCTCACCTGCACATTCTGGGCAATGACTCTCCCAGTGTTTTGGATGATCTATGCCTCAATTAATAATAGAGGGAGGATTCAGAAGCCAGGCAAGGCCTACCACCTGCTCATGCCCTGCTGTGTCTGAGCTCCAGGCACTGACTCACATTCTGCCCTGCCTTATGACTCACTTTCTTCATCCACGTAGAGACTCCCAAGCTTGGCTCCAACCAATGGATGGGACAGAACCTCCACTTTTGATCTTCCTGGGTTTTCCCATCCTTGCACACTCCCCACTGTCCCCCCACCATAAGTGCCTGTGATGGTTACTTTAATGTGACAACCTGGCCAGGCTGTGGTGCCCAGGTGTTTGCTCAGATAGTAGTTTAGTTATTGCTGTGAAGACGTTTTTTAGATGTGATTAATAGTTACAATCCGTAGATTTTGAATAAAGGAGAAAACCCTCCAGAATGTGAGTGAGCCTTGTCTAATCAGTGGAAGGCCTTCACGCAAAGACTGAGGTTTGCAGAAGCAGCAATTCTGCCTCGAGACTGCAACATAAAAACCCTGAGTTTCCCACCTGCCAACCTGCCCTACAGATTTTAGACTTGCCAACCCCCACAATTGCCAACTCCCTAATCTCTCTCTGAGACAGATGATAGACAGATTTGATAGATATCCACACATCTTCTTGGTCCTGTTTCTCTGGAGAACTCGAACTGATACAGTGTCTACAGAGACAGGAAAGAGTTCATCTTTTTGCAGTAAATGTAAACCCACAGTTTTGGTCCAAAGGGAATTTTTTCAGTGAAAAACAACCATGCTGTCCATTTCTCAGACAATGGCATTAACAAAAATATATAACCTTTATTCACCTTTGCTGCTTTTCATTCTCTGCTTCACAGAGGTGCAACAGGATGTGGTCTCCTCACATGTTGACATCAAAATTAATTCTTATTTTTAAGGAAGTCATTGTAACCCTAGCCAACCATTTTTAACTGCAGACACACAAGGGCTCCTACATCTCCAATGGCTTGGAGAGGTACTTGTGGAAACGATGGACTGCCTGTGACCACCAGGAAACCAGCACCAATCCCAAACCACCCCATCGACCCTTGCTCACCAGCCTGTAGAGCCAACCTGATGAAGCTGAAACTTCCATTTTTGACTCTGCTTTTTGTTTTGTTTTGCTTTTTGAAAAATAAGGAAAAATACAGGATGCTACCATCTGAGAGTCTCAGGAACATGCTGGCAATAATAATAAAATAATAAAAATAATAAAAGTGCCTTCTCTCAAATTACCTCTCTGGAGGAGGCCGAAAGAAAGACAGCCCTCTGCGCGCACTCTCCTATTACATCTCAGGCTCCATGTTAACTGACGTCAGCGGTGGATGGCTTTCATAGTGCAGCGTGAGGCAGCATTTTATTTTACCTTATAACGGTTTCCTTGACTGGAAAATGGGAATGTTTTTATGGTTGTTATTGTTGTTGTTTTAAAGTAAACTGCCCTGCTAATTTAAGAACTTCTCTATGGGGTGGCCCCTACATAGCAGATACCCAACATCACACATTGAAGACTAAGGCAAGCTACCCAGCAACAATAGAACATAAATGTGCCTGAAACAAATTTATAACACTGTATTTTTTAGCAGATAGACTCATAACTTTATTTTGACAAATGTAAGATAGAAAAATATCATAGAGTGAATATTGCAGTTACTGTTTTTGTAACAGGGTTTGGGATGTGCAGGGTGACTCGAAAGAGCAAGCTTAACTGGATGGACTCACTTCTGTTTGGGCTTCAGTTAATACCGAATTATTGTTCAGCCTTTGCATTTGCTTGAAAGAATATTGGACACAGTAAAACTGGCTTTTCAAAAGGTTATGGCATTCAATAATAAATATTATGAGGCAATGAACCCAAACAACCTTTAAAATAGTTTTATAATTACTAAAAGCCAACTTTAAACTTCAGGCTTAAAGCTAAGAACTCAGATATTCAAAATAGCTTTAACATTTTCTACCAATATATAATAGAATAATAGAGTACTTATTTTTTTTAAAAAGTGAAGAAAGATTAGAGTAAACATGATATTTCAGATGACTATAAACGGTAAACATCAATTCAGGATACATATATGTATATATATTATTTCAATAATATACTCTCGCTCAGTTGGCTAAAACCTGTAGTTCTAGCTATCACTGAAGACGTGTCTGGGTATGTCCTCTTTGAGCTCATTCAGTGTGGGCATCCCGTCTATACTCCATCTTTGGAGGGGGTGGGTTGAGGAACTCTAAGTACATGCAGATATTTGGTATGGTTATAAAGACAAAATTCATGTGCCAGGAGTCTGCAGTCAGAACCGCTGCGTTCATTCCTTAAGCTTCACGCTCGTTTGTCTCTGTGATGCCTCAGGTAAACTCACACTAAATAATTCACACGGGTGCTCACGCTGTTGCTGTCAGTCCGTTTCAGCTTCCTTCTTTGCTTCCCTTCCCCACTCCTCAAAGGATAAAATTGTGCGGCCCCTCATTAAAATATGGTATCTCTAACATACAAAATAAGTGTATGTACATATATACATACATGCATTTCCTTTTCAAGGACTGGGTAACTCCTCGTTTTCTATCAAATAATCCTTCTTCATATACTTGGTTCCCCTAACTAACCTCCACACTTCCAGGTAAGCATCCTTCAATGACCTCTTGCTCATTTCCGCGGGGCCATCTGTGTTCTGCGAACTCCTAGCCACCTGCGGGTCTCCTCTGGGGCTGCCCCTCGCCTCTTGCCCACTCCTCTGAGTGGGGCCACCTGCTGACCCGCCATTTCCGTCCTCCGCGGGTAGCTCCTCCATGACGAACGGCAGCTGATCTCCACTTGGCTGTGCTTCCTCGCCCCCGGGCTGCGTCTCTAGGTCTTCGTAGTTGCTTTGCTTTCTGGTCTCCACGAATTTGGCCACACAGTAAATGATGGAGCCCAGAGTGTTCACCACCACGCCGGCAATGAACAGAGAGGTGGGTTCCACATCGCTGAAGGCCACCATGCCCACTGTGATGGTGGCGATGCTCTTCACCACGCCTACGAAGCTGGTGGTCACCGCCGAGTTGATGTAGGTGCAGTGCAGCGTGGTGAAGTTCATGGCGCAGCCGATCAAGATGCAGGCCACGAAGATGCAGACCATGGCCGGGTCCTTCCAGCCAGGGAAGGTCCAGGCGTGGATAGAGTCGGTGCTGGCGAAGGAGCAGACGACCAGCAGTGGGGTGGCGGACACCGCGATGACGTACTGCGCGGTGAGCGGCCCGTGCTCCGTGTCGGCGCTGGCCTTCTGGATGAGCACCAGGTAGGCGGCGTGCACCAGGACGGCCAGCACGCCCGTTACGTACCCGATGGGGTCGCCGGTCAGGTCGCCGGCTCCTGGAGCGCCCCAGGAGAACCGCGGAGCCAGGGCAAGAAGGAAAAAGAGAAGACACCGGGTTGGCGAGGGTGGGTATTCACTGGGGCAACGCGTAGGGTTGGTGAGTAAACAGGGTTCGCGTCCCAGCTCTGCCCAGGGGTATAAAGCGCAAGAGCCAAGTTCAGCCAATGTCCAGTTCGAGGCATAATCGGAGGCGCCTTCCCTGCCATATCCCCGGGGCACCCTGGCTAGTTCTGTCCAAGACCAAGGCCCGGGAGAGCGCAGATGCCCTCGGGGTAGGCACGGAGGTCACCCAGGCGCGTTGTACCCTTGCCCTCTCCGTGGGGCTCCGGAAGAAAGAGGGATCCCCAGCTAGTGTCCTCTACCCCGGGCGGGCTGGTCGCCGAGCGAACGCCTCTCTCTCCCGACCCGTTTCCCGTTCCCGTCGGCTCCGTTCGGGCTTAGTCCTTTAAGCTCGGCCCTCACGTGGGGCTCAATCCGGCCCCCTCTGCCTCTCTCCCTCAGCACCTCGCGCGGCGCCAGAGACCCCAAACTAGCCTCCGCGGCTCAAGCTTGGTTTCCATTGTCCCCCGACCCCCACCACTCCAACCCCGCGTGACCCAGGGAAGTTCAGCGCCCCCCTCCTTCCGACTCAGCCTGGGGGCTCCAGTTCCCAGGCTCAGGCGGCTCCCCCACCCCTCCTGGAGGAAGGAAGCGAGGCAGGGCGGAGGAGAGGGGAGGCGGGGGGAGGGGGGAAGGGAAGGTGGAGAGGGCGATACCGGTTTAGGCAGGGGCGGGGGTCGGAAGCCGGGACTGGGGGGAGGGGTGCGTTCTAAAGGAGGAGGTCGGAGCGCTGGGAAAGGCTCGGCGTGGTCTCAGAAGTCCCGTTTGCGAACCGAGCACCCACATTCAAGCCTCCCTCTGCCTCAGTCTCCCCATCTGGAAGTGAGGGCCTTGCACTAGGTGATCCCCGCAGTCTCTGTCCGGTGGGGTAGGGTGGGCCGGGGGTGGGCGCGGGTCCCGCTCACCTGCCAGGGCGGCGCCGCAGGTGGTGATGAGTACGGCCGCGAGCACCCCGGGCGAGGGCGCGCCGTTCTTGAGCACCAGAACGCCGATGAGCATGGTGACCAGGGGCAGGCAGCGCTTGAAGACCACGTACATGGGCAGGCTGAGGCCGCGCAGGGACCAGAGCGTGAGGCTGGACTGCAGCGTGGAGAGCACTGCGACCCCCGCGAAGGAGCGCGCCAGGCTCAGGCCGAAGGGGGGCACGGCGATGAGCCCCAGGCGCCGCAGCAGCTCCAGGCTCAGCGCCGCGGTGGAGCTGGTCAGGCACTGCACCAGGGTCAGGAAGGAGAACTGGTAGCGGCTGATGAGGAACTTGAGCAGGATGTTGAGGGAGCCAGAGAAGACCCCATGCGCGATAGCCACCGAGATGCCCAGCACGCGGCCCCGGCACAGCTGCCGCATCGCGCCGGCCGCGCCGCACCCGGTGGTGGCGGAGCTCCGGGACCTGCAGAAGGAGAGCCGGGAAGAGAGCCGCGAGCAGCGGAGCGAGGGCGGCGGGGGTGCCCGCCCAACGCCGCGCGGAAGGGCAGGGGGCGCCGGCTCGCTGCAGAGGGCAGCTCCAGCCAGGCGTCCTCGCGGCTCCGCCGCTTCGCGTCCGACTGCCCCGCAGCTCCCGGGAGGCAGTGACGAGGGCGGGGGACTCCGAAAAGTGGCAGGGGTGGGGGGCTGGTCTGAGAGGAGTGGCGGGAAACCTAGCGACAGCGATCTGTAAGTATGTGACGAGCTGCGATGGGTTGTGTCCCGCGCGGTTTCCCAGCCAGGGCGGACGCTCTGCTCCTGGAAGCCCGGGCAGCTGCAGCTAGCGGGACCCGACTCGCACCTCTCGGGCAGCCCAGCGCCCATCCGGGCGGGCTCTCCCGGCGCCGCCCCCTCTCCTCCCGCCAGGCCAGCTACTCCCGCTGGCCTCTTCTCTCCAGCGCCGAGCCCAGGAGCGCGGGTTGCGGGATCCCGGGCACAGCTAAAGATGGTAGAAACAACAGCGCCCCAGGGTCGAGCTTATTAGCCGCAACAAGTGACAGCACCCTCAGCCCCAACCCTTCCCTTCCCTCCCCCGAGCTTCAAGCGGCTTTTCTACCCGCCGTCCCTACAGGCGCAGCCGCGGGACCTTGTCCAGCTGCCGGCCAGGAAAGGGGAAAAAGTCGGTGCCAGCCGGCTGCGGGGCTCCCTGATGCTCCCGCGCCGGCACCCCCACATTGAAGAAACCCACGGCCCCAGGACACCGCCCCAGCGTGCTTTAGGGCGCCAAGCCTGGCCTCTTCCCGTGGCCGGCAGCGCGCTCTCCAGTCTGTGCGCCTTCCAGAGAGGGACTTGGGATGACTCGCGTGGCTCTGGGGGGGTTTGGGGGGGGGGCGCTCCTTGGCCTAGCCGGACCGCGGAGCCTGGGGGCGGAGGCAGGGCACACGTTCCAAGTGGGGCAAAGATGTGAAATAAGCATAAAAGCAGAAGCTAAGTCTCTGGAGGGAGAACCCTCCACCGATCTGGGGCATCACAGGGGCGACGGTGCCCCAGGGGTGGGCGGGCAGCGACTGGCTGGGAGATGCGCGCGCGCGGGGGGGGGGGGGTGGTGGGGGGGGGGGGGGGGGCGTAGCGGGGGCAGGAACCCGGGGCCAAGACCGCGCCGAGACTAGGTGTAGCTTTCTCTGGAACCCGGGGAACCGACCGCAGCCTGCCGGGCTGTCGTTGGCGGCTTTGGGGAGCGGGACAACCCCTACCTCTTACCTCCCGGGGGCCCTGCAGGACTTGAGAACTGTTTACTTTCTATCTGGCTAAGAAAAGTAGGAAATTATTTTCTGCGGGCACAAGGCTTCTGTGACCCTTCGATCTGAATTTCGTTCCCTGGAAAGTAACACCCGGACACGGAAACCCAGCAGCAGCAAAGGGGTTCGCTCGGCCGAGGTAACAGCTAAAAGCCAGACAGTTCAGTTTTCGCGCTACTTTAAAATTACGGACTTGGCCAGGGTTTGGGAGCGAGGAAGAGAGCCTGAAATTGCTGCGCACCACCTCTCCCTTTCCTTCACTTTTCCTAGCCACCCATTGCCATCGGGATCCCAACCTCCGAACCCTTAACTGCTGCACAAACTAGTATACACGAACCGTTTCTTTAGTGATTCTTTTGTTTTCTCCTCCATACTTCCCCCTCTGTGCTGAACGCGGCACTTCCAGCCCGGATATTGAAGCCGCGATTATTTTTACCAGAGCAGAAAAATAATTTCCACCAGGGACTGGCAGCATCACTGCAGTCCTTATTCTGGGCCAGCTTTGCATGTGCTGGGGAGCTCACATTGGTGGGAGAGATCTAGGTTTCAACCAGTCCTGCCCAGGGCCTAGTAGGGCCACCTCCCTGCCCCCCTCAGGTCGACACTCAAGAAAATGTTTGCAAATGGCTCAGTGTGTCAACTTTCCAGGAATAACACTGAAAAGCAATTTACTGAAACCCGTGCTTCTGGTTCCCTGGGAAATTCTTTGTTTTTGTTGCTAACGGCTATGGTTACACGATATTGGCCATTTCATGGACTGTTTTTCAAGTGATGTTCTTTCTTTAGGAAAAGGGGTCTGAAGCAGCAGGTCACATTATGTATATGTGTGTAGTAGAAGGATATAAACAAAGTATACTCAGATTAAAAAAAAACCCTTGAAGATTAACTTTTTAAAGAAATCAGCAAATAACAGATCTCTGCTTCTGGGGACCATTCCAATAAAAGCCATCTTAAGTGAACACAATAAAGAACTGTCTACATAGACCCAGTTTTGGAATGATTCATTTCTGCCAGCAATTATAATTGCTTCCATTTGTGATACTAACATTAGGTAAAAGATTTGGGGCTGATTCAGCTATCTTACCCTTCTCATTTAGGCAAGAAAATTTAGCTTAATACTTGAAACCTGCATTGGCATGAAACAGTTCATTTTCTCTACTTTATTGCATATAATTCTTTTCCATTAGGACTTTCATTTTAAAAAAATTAATACCATCTCCCACACCAATTACTAGATGAGCTCCTACAGAAAAATGGGAAAAACAAGAATACTATGTTTAGCAAGGTTAATTGAAGAAGAATGTAGATCTGAAGGTCAAAAAGCTATTGGACCTACTGATATCAAGCTCCATTATCTTTGGAGCTACTTAATACATATTGATGGCATTAAATAAATCCTTTAGGTCATTCGTTTGGCAAACATATGTAGAAAGAGAGCGAGTATTTGGGGCCAGGCAGTTGGTTAGCCACAGAGAATTCAAAGATGAGCACTCATCTGAGCTCTTCGGGATTCACAGGTGCAGGTGAGACAACACAATGAGGCTTATGCAACAGTGGGGCCCGTGGCAGAAGCGAGAGCAATAAAGAGGACAATAAAATCAGCTTTCTCCAGAGGTATCAGAAAAGACATCCTGGAGAAGGAAATATGGTCTTATTTCATTATTTTTAATTGTAAAAGTAACCCATTCCCATTATAGTATGTACAAGGAAAGCAGACTTTAGAACAATAATTGAACATGCTATCTTCAATATTCCCCACCCCAACCCCAGACCAACCCCACTACACAGAGCTGGCTACTAGTGTAAACCTTTACGGTTTTCTTACGTATCTATTTATACGTACATAATCCCCTTTTAAAAAAAATGATAAAACTAGGACATCGACCTATTTGTGTGTAATTTACTATTTTAAAAAGTGTATGGTGGGCAGGTTAGCCCCCAAGATCCCTGCTTCCTTGTAGTCACACCTTTGGTCAATCCCTCCTACATTGTACTGGGGCTGGTCTGTGTGACCAATAAGACACAGAAGTGATGGTGTCACTTGCTGAGATTAGGTTATAAAAGACTGAAGCTTCCATCTTGAACTTTCTTTCTGTCACTCCGCAGGGAGGAAGCCAGATGCTATGTTATGGAGACACTCAGGCAACCTGTGGAGGGGCCCGCATGGTGGGTGCCTGCTAAAAACCACGTGAGTGACTTTGGAAGCTGATTCTTGAGCCCCAGTGGAGCTTCAGATACCTGCAGCCCCAGGTGACAGCTTACCTGCACTGTCATGCCAAAACCTGAGCCAAAACCACTCAGCCAAGCCACCCTTGGATTCCTGACCTATGGAAACTCTAAAATAAATGTCTGTTGTTTTAAGCTGCTAGGTTTTGGGGCGCCTGTTATACAGAAATAGGTAACTAATACACCGATCGATAGCAAGGTATTTTTCATGTCAGGACACATAGTTCTACCTTATTCTTTCTGATGATTGTTCCATAGTATAACCTTTCTTCTGTAGACAGGCATCTAGACGTTACCAAACAATGATATAATGAATACCCTTGGACATTTGTTCTTACATACTCTGTATGTATTTGGGGTGGAGACATACAGACAGGGAATTCTAGAACTGGAACTGCTGAGTCAACCAGTAATTTAAAATCTTTACTGCCAAACTGCCTTCCAAACAGGTGTATAACAGTGCTCTCACTTTTTTTTTTTTTTAAGATTTATTTATTTTAGAGAGAGCAAAAGAGAGCATGAGCATGCGGGGCGGGGGGTGTGAGCAGAGTTGTAGAGAAGGGGCAGAGGGAGAGGGAGAGAGAATCTCAAGCAGACTCCCCTCTAAGTGCAGAGCCTGCCCTGGGGATTCACCCCACCACCCTGAGATCATGACCTGAGCCAAAATCAAGAGTTGGACCCTCAACCGAGCCAGCCAGGCGCCCCAACAGTGCTCTCACTTTAACTTAATATTATCAGTATTTTAGTGTTTGCCAAAATGCTAAGCCAAAAAAAAAAAAACCCCAAAAACAAAAAAACCGGAATCCCATTTTAATTTGCATTTCTTTGTGGTCAATAAAACAAAGTCTGGGCACCATTTTTGAAGTGTATTAAACATTTGCACTTTTACATCTGTTAATTATCTATTGATATCCTTTGTCCACTTTTATGTTTGGTTGTCTCAGTGATTTTTGAGAGCTCTTTATAAATTATGGCTATTAAACAATTCGTTACATATGTTGCAAATATACCTTCCAATATATCTTAGCTTTGCTAATGGTGTGTTTTGCTCCTTTTTGTATGTTGTCAGTCTTTTTCTTTAGTCATTTCTCATAACTTTCGAATGGGGGGAAAGAATTTGTCAAACCAACGCATACCTGAAACTAATGTAACGTTATGTGTCAAACTATACTTCAATCAAAAAGAAGAATTCACTGAGCCAAGAGCAGGGCAAACCAGGCACGTGGACTACGTTGGACAAAAACAGAAATGAAAACCTGCATTATTTATACAGGGAGTCTGTGAGCACACCCGTGTTTGGAGCACAAAGCGGGTGACCACGTGCAGGGAAGCAATGCTGCAGAGAGAGGCAGGGGCTGGTCCCAAAGGACAGCGGCTGTCTGATTCGTGAGCTGGAACTTTTTCCTGTAGGCAATCCTA